CCCCCCCCCCCCACCCCGCCAGCAGCTTCGTTACGTACCTGTTGACAAAGGTCGCGTACGCCTATGATCTCACTGTCTACTATATAATAAAAACATACATAACATTGTTTCAACTTGGCAAAGCCGGGCAAAGTGAAGAAGTCGTCTCTGATTAAAAGTACCCCCAGTTGACAAAGGTCGCGTACGCCTATGATCTCACTGTCTACTATATAATAAAAACATACATAACATTGTTTCAACTTGGCAAAGTGAAGAAGTCGTCTCGGATTAAAATTTTTTTGACGAACTTTTGGCTACTAATCTGCCTTCTACTGTTCCACATAACTAACAAAAATAGCCAGCTTAAATGTACTAACTTAAGTTGGTTGAATCGTACTAGTATAATACTGTAAATGCCTGCAATTGCCTGCTCTATACTTGGCGCTATTTATTGCTTGATAGATAAGCATAAACAATTAGTTTTTGAAACAATTATATTTCTCGATCGATTTGTTAAATATTTCATCATAGATTAGGAATTTAAATTTTATTTACATTTCACCAGAATACTCATTTGATTTCCGTAAGAAATAGTGAATTACTTTACTACTTTTTTGTAATCCCAGCAATCAAATGTGTCAAGCCGTTAATGACTTTCTGAGTTGTGGGATATCTGTCCTTATCATAGCACGTGCCAGTGAGCGGAGTGTTGAACTCCACACCCTCAGGATCAGCAATCACAAACCCCCCGGTTTTCATAAAGAATCCTTGAAGATCACAAATTCGATTGTAACCGGACCCACACGGCTTCATGAACTTGCGAATTTTTTCCAAATCGTCGGCCGTTTTTAAACGTGTCTCCTGTCCAGGCTGGAATTCTCTCACCAAGTCAACCAGATTACTGATGGTATCTTTTACAACGGCACTTCTGATTGTTTGCATCATCCCTCTGTCCGTTGGAACCCACTGAACAAGATAACCCGAGCATTTTACATCGGTACTCCTCTTTGCACCGCACTTTAATCTGAGAATCGAATGAATATAGTAGAGTATAGTAATAGAGTCTTTATTTAACTAGGTAAACCGCATAGGTAGGCCACCATCCGCACGCATGATGTGAGATTCAGAAGTATAATTATAATAAGGTTGGCAAGAAAATAATAATATGACTTGCTATGGCTTAAAACAAGTCGAAAAAATCAACATCTCGTGAACAAATATCGCTAAAAAATAGCAGCCCCTACCTGTAGGATAGTTTGCTAAATATGTATACAACGTTTTCTGGCAACAAAACGAGTGTATAAGTCGAAAAAATACGAAAAGTATTTCGAATTCGACCATTTCGAAGATTAAGCACCAAAGGGACTGAAACAACCCTTTTGAAATGACAGTTCTGAGGTCAGAAATTCCTTTGAAACTACGCTGAATTTACAATGAAGTAATTTTTTTTATACTCTATGCCGTAACTCACCCAGGTATAATTTGCTTATGGTAATCCAGGACATTGAGCTTAGCTTCACGAATTTGATTCAATGAGTGCAACTCCCCTCCTAGCTGAATATCGCAAACATCGGAGGTAAGGCACACTAAAAGCCCCACATCAGCCATTTCCTTGATCTGACAGCCAAGTTTTGAGGCTCCTGCACCAGTAGTTTTACAGAATGAAGCATAGTCGATATTTCCCGATTGCTCACTCGCTTTCTTCACCAACGCCGAAGCTTTTTCATAGTCAGGCTTGCTGGCAATCAAAGCGAATTGTTGGATTGCGACAAATTCTATTACGACCATCAAGAATTGTTTTCCAAATAGTTTCATCTTTTACCTATTTAATGCAATGTTAACAAGCCCATTATAGTTGGTAGAATCGTGGTAGTATGCTACTGTTATTGCAGTAATTTTATTGCTTTGTCTATATGCATTGGAATAATCTTCCACATGATGCAAAATTCGCAGAAAGTTAACCTCTTTTAAAACCAACCTGAGGGAGAGAATCAGTTGAAACTTGCTAACTTATTTATATTAATTAAAATCGATCACAGTTTTTGCATTTTGTTAAATTCTCTTACTGTATACTTTTTTGTATTTTGTAAATATGCATCTCTGTTCTTCACGCCCCTCATTAAAACCAGCAATTATTGCTGATGGGGCTAGCGTGTTTAAATAAAGTATGTATGCATGTGTGTATGTATGGGTATATAAATAAGATCGTTTATTATACGTATTACAAGTATTTTGTTGAATAAATGCGGTGTAGAAATGCCGGTATGCTATATTTCTCACATGTGAAAAAAGCAATTCGAGAGCCAATGAAAAAACGGCGCGAATTGTTCTACAGTCTGGCGGCTTTTGTTTACTTTAAAATGCCCGAGCTAGCTACTCGTTTTGTTGAACTTGACGAGTCTATGGACGAATTTATCGAAAACCAATGCAATAAGAATACATTAAACGAAACTCACAAGGATATTTCGTTGCTCATAAAGCTGTTGTCAGCCCAGAATGAGGAAAAGAATTTATAACATCGAACCTGAAGATTTGAGCAGATATATTTCAGAGTTCATCGTGAAAGTCAAACAACAAGATGAGCAATATACGAGCCGCAACTTTACCATCTTTTGTCTGCAGTAATATACATAATAAACAGTAAACATCATGAAAAGTGAGGCGTACGGTGTTCATTCACTCGTTGTTTGTGCTTCGTACTCACTCGCTCGTACCTCGCTCGTTCGTGACACAACACAAACAACTCGTGAATAATAACACCGTACGCCTCACTTTTCATGAAGTCATGCATGAAGTATCCTCTATATATTATATATATTTGATTTCACCTATTAATCACCGAGTTAGAAACAACTAATTGTTTTCTTCAAAATAATTTTGTTACTTGCATTTGAAAGATAACTTGAAAAGACAATTAATTTCAATTGGTAAAATTTAATAACTTCAATTTACCAAACCAATCAATTTCATTGGGAGAATTTTTGCAACACTCTCTCTTGTCGCAGGGCATTTTTTAACTATATAACTGGGGGGGGGCAAAGCCCCCCCCAGCCCCCATGGTGGCCCCCCCCACTCAACCATTTTGCCCCCCCCCTCTAAAATATAAGCAAAACATTGAATTTAGAAGGGAGGTTTGATATTCTAGTAACTGAAATTTGCTTTGTGAATCTTATGTCCTGTCTTTTATGTTTAATAAACACCTTATTAGATTTTAAACATTTCCCAGGCAGTGGATTGCATTTCCCAGACCCTATAGAGTTTGAGTTGTTGGACAAGTTAGTGACCGCAGGGGGCAACAGCCCTCAACCATGTGTTTTATAAGGGGGGGGGGGATAATTTTGGCCCCACCAAAAAAAAAACAATTTGATTTCGAAACTAGAAGTATTTGAAATCATATATACATATAATCAAATATCTGTAATCGATATTTTGATAACATTTCTCGTAATAATCCATCCTGACTTGCGGATATCATAGAGTCGACTCACAAATCATAATGAACGAATTAATGAAAGGGCCAAACAAAAGACGTATAGAAGACTTTGAAAATGCCATTTCCGATGATTTAGAGACGCAAAATTTTCAAAATTTTTCCGCTCTGTGCCAACCATGGTGGCGCTTCGTGGGAGTCGGGAACTCTAAGTTTATCAAGCTGGCTCCTTAAGTGACGGCCAAGTTGTGGTATCTACATAAACATACTATGCAAGTACTTAACTGAAGGTTCAGTCTATCTACAGCATAATGTAATGCTGTATATCCAAAAATCTGTTTCAGAAAATGCAGGGAATTGCAGTCATAGGGGTAGTAAAATACAAAAATTTTCTGGGGGAGAAACCCCAGACACTCTCCAGGGCCGTAGCAACCGCAGAGGGGGGGGGGGGCTGGGGGGCTGCAGCCCCCCAATAATTTGCTAATAATCATTCATTTTTTAAAATCATGCAGACCTTTATTATTTAATCCATGACAAACTGCAAAGAATGAAGATATTATCATATTACCCATACTTTCCTGCAACTTATCCAATATATTGTTAATTAAATACACCTTCGTCCATTTAGTACTACTTGATTCTAAATTTCCACATACTAAAAATGCTGTATTGTAACAATAAGAAATC